GCCGTTACCTCCGCGGAGCGGGGGAGGCATTCCCCGCTGCTCACGCGGGGGCATCCCGCCTCGCATGCTGTTCATCGGGCCCTTCTTCCGCGCGAGGGTGACTTTGAGCTTGCTCCCCTGGAAATCCTTCCCTAGGAGGAAGACGAGGGCGAGAGCATCGCTTTGCGCTGCGAACGCCCGCTCTGCGCCGGACCCGGGTACCGCACACATCTTCCCACGGGACACACCGCTGCCCCGAGCCGTTCCTCGCACGGAAGATTTGACCCAAGCGTCACAGACAGCAGAAGGGCAAAATTCCACCCCCGGGACCGAGATAAACCCCCGCTGCAGGAGAGGACAGGTGACAGAAGCCCGGGCAACCGAGGGCAACCACAACCCAAGCACCACGCTTATCCGTTCCAGTTCAAACCAGGAGCTTCTTCGGCAAAAGCCTGACCACCTAGAGCTAGCCTTAAACGCCCACGATCCTCCACGCACCGAGGACAGAAACGCCGACTTCAGCCGGACAAGAATTTTAGCTCTGAAGAAAATCGAGGACAAAGCGATTCCATCCCAAAACACCCCCCGCACACTCACCATCAAACCATTCGACCGCTGTTTTGGCGGTAGACGGGTCATCGTAAGATACCGTGGCATCTCCTTTTGGTTTGCCGGTTTCTTTGTCGATGTAGAGGTTTATCATAGGCTGCCCAGTCCTCTTGTTCATCTAGCAGGACAGCAAAACGCCACCTCGAGTCGCATCTCCCCATAAGCCGAGCGGGGGATTTGCTCTCCTCCGTTCTGCTTTCGACTCGAGACGACCGAGCCTCATTTTGGCGACTCCGGGGCAAGAAGAAAGGGCCCCTCCGGCTTACCATGGGCGGCAGCTACTGCCCGGGCAAGCCAACAAACGAAGGAACCGGCCCAGAACAGCGCTGCCTGGCCCGACGGGCCTCTCCCGCCTCCACCTGGCAGCGCAAGAACCGAGCTGCAGCCCCCCCGCCTCCTCCTGCGCTCTTCCCCACCCCCCC